TGGGCCGACTTTAAAAATGTTTAAGAACCTATGAGTCTTCTTTTTAATTTAATTTTCTCCCCTTTTATTCAGGCAGTCCTTTATCTGCTTCTACGGAGTCTACTGTGGGCAGACACTGTGGGGAATCAGAGCATGGAAGATGCCCTGTTCCCCTCAAGGAAGGCAGAGCTGCTGGGAATTCCAGACAGAGAGAGAAAGAAACACTCTAGGCATACTAGTGCACACCTTTAATCCCAGCACTTGGAGACAGAGGCAGACAAACAGACCTCTGCGAGTCTGAGGTCAGCCTGGTCTACATAGCCAGTTCTAGGCTAACACAGTGAGACTCTGCCAAAAACAAGTTTCTTGGTGTGTCCAAGGTGTGACGGGGGAGACAGCAGAGACATCCGAAGTCAGATCTTCCCCTCAGCACCGCTCAGTTCACACACATCAGGAGCATACTCACAGCTACAGTATGCAATCTCTCCTAAGGCTCAGGGGACACTACAAAGAAGGGGCAGAAAGACTGTAAGAGCCAGGGGACCGGAGTTCTGTGAGGGTGTGTCTCCTAGTGACGTCGGAAGCTACACCTGTAAAGTCTTACCACCATCACCACCTAAACATGACCCGAACAAGGAGGACTCCAGTGGACATGACAACCGAATGGAAGAAAACCCAATGAGGTCTGAACCCTAAGTAAAAACTACAGGCAACTGGGTGAAGCTGGAGCAAGGGAGGACACTCTCCCCAGGGAAAAGCACACCAATGAGTCATCTAGTGTGGAATGGTCAGCCCTGGAGACGTAATGCGAGTTAACACTGTACGAACTACATTTAGAAATATGTATGTATGTATGTATGTATGTATGTACATATGTATGTACAGATATATCTATGCATGCAATATTAATTGATGAAAAAAACAAGGCCATGAATTTGAAGGAGTAGGGCGGGGTAACTGGGAAGGTTTGGGGGGAGAAAAGGTAAAAGAGAAACCTTGTAACTAGAATACAAGCTCAAAACTAAACAGCAACAAAAGAGGAAAAGCATGCTTGCTTATAACCCTGCAGGACGGCCCTGCCATCACTCAGGGCCTCCGGCTCCCGGCCTCCGGCAGGAGTGCACAGCGGTCCTCCCGCAGGAGTGCACAGCGGCCCTCGACACCCACCTGGCCCACGTCCAGCTCCTATCAGCTGTACTCAGCACCTCGCAGTGACTTCCTGTCACCATCTCCTAACCACGATCCTCTTTTGCTACACTCAATGCTAGCAGCCAGGATGAGTTCACTGGTTTGTACTGCATATCTTCTTCAAGAAAAACCGTTTCCGAGGGCAGTAATTCTCACGTTACTTCGCTGCTATAATGCCTGCATCTGGAAAAGCACTCGGTGCATAATAGGCATTCAGTAAATATTTGTGGACTGAATGAAAGGAGAGCCGATAAGGTGCTGTGCAAGGTGCGGCCTTCTGCAGTTATGTGGAGGGCAAGGGGAAGCCCTCGGCATCTGTATCCAGGACCAGAGTGAGAAAACTCATCTGGTTTCCAGGATAACATTTCTACTGCAGACAATGACAGAACGGTGGAGGATGAGGGGAGGAAGGGAGGGACGGGGCAGGCTTGATACAGGCAGGGCAGTGAAGGCAGAGGGGGAAGAATTTGAGAAAACTTCTAGAGGTGAAATGTCATGCTAAAATGCAAAGCTATGATTTTATGCCACAAGCTCAGGAAACGGCCTTGGCACCAGCATTACCGTTCTTTCATGTACAACAATCCCTTAGTCTAAAAGCAGTTCTAATCTCCATACAGACAACACCTAGAGCCCTGCATACAGAACGCAGCCTGAACTCCGGCAAGGAGAGTACAACTGGTCGGGCTGCAGCCGAAGAGCTGTGCTTTGTAATGGTGTCTGTCTCTGTTACCCATCTTGGAAGTGGATGGGTACTGGGCTACCTCCTTTTAACCTCAGGACAACATATCAATATTCCTCTTATGGTTTCAAGGCCTTGCTCAGTTTCAGTGTCCTTCCTTTCCTTCCTCCATCTCTGGTCAGTACAGTGAGTGCA